CCTACATGTGATAGGGATATTTTAGAGAGAGAAGCTGCCTCAGAAAATCAGTAATGTGAAATCCACCAACATTGGTTCTGCAGCATGCCCCCAACACAGGCTGCCCTTTCAAAAACTGAAAAAACCGATCAAACAAGGCTTTTAGTTCAGAAAAACAACAATTTAATTTGAAATACACAGGTGGAAAAAAAAGCAGAGATTTTATTTCACAGAAACGCTTTAATGATTCTAATAGAGTTTTCTTTTCATTATTGACTACTACAGGGATCATGACCAAGGAGCAAAATCCATTTTACCCAAAAAAAAGGAGCAAAATCCATATTGTGGTTCATACACTCAAGGATGGATTTAACATGATAAATTCCGTATGTCGAACCCCAGCAGAAACTGAAATAATATTTTTCCCAAAACTACCTGCAATATCACACTAGATTAAGGCAAGCTTGACTAAAGTTGTTCGGCTAGGAGTATCAGTGGACAATTTCCCTTAAAAATGTGAATAATGACAGCATCTTGGAATGTCAATAAAAATACTCTGTAGCTGCATGCGAAAGCAGTCTTCAGCAGTGGTAGATTCATTTCTTTTACCACAGAATTATCAATAGATACAATTCTAGTCGTTAAATATTATTAAACATCAATTGCAATATTTAAAACACATATGCACTGCATTTATTTTACTGGACGGAAGACAAAATCAGCCAAACATTCTGTTATATCTGGTGAAAGTTGGAGAGAGGTGTATCTTGGGGACAAGAACTTACTGGAACAACATGACAAGTTCCATGTTCACATGAAATAGCCAGCCCGTCTTCGTTACAGTTTCCAAGTTTCTGATTGTACTTATAACTAAACGCGTTGTCGATGCCAAATGCTACATTTCAGATACAAAGCAGCAGCATCAGCATTGCAAACCTTATGATAAAGTAACTAATAACATATAACTAGATGCAGCTCATAACATCAAGATCACATAAATTATTACCAATGGATGGTACACCATATGTCTCGAAAAGTAGTTCTGACATTCGGACTCGAGAAAAGGATGGATTACATTCACATTCTGTCATAAGAATTGGATGGCCCACCTGTTGAGCATCATTGTTAGCTTTCAACAACACTCATCCGAATAACAGTTTGGTTGAAGAAAGAGAAGTCACAAATTTCTGGTAAAGGATATATACGGACAGATAATATAGCCGTCTTAATAAGTGTCTGCATGTCTGATGCGGATTAACATAACTGAAGCAATGTGCAGTGATTACACTATTGGAACATGGAAGTGCTGATTTAGGAAGACAACTCTTCCTTGTTTATGTTTCGGTATCATGGACTGGTAAGGAGAACAAACTTACCAACAGAGTTAACTTGACAACCCATGCTCATTTTGTATTTAAAGTAGAGTAGCTCAATACCACTCATTTATTGTCATTTTGCCTCGCCTTTATGAAAGGCTGCAGCTTGAGTTCGTCTTGGAAATATTAGGACACCCTACTGACTTGAAAAATTCTACAGATGAACTCTGTACAATATAAGAACCTCTAAGATCTGCATCTGGAGAGAACCCAGTATCATCAGATTCATTACACACACTGAACTGATATAAACCACCCAAGGCTCCTGTGATTCAACAAGACTAGCTACACCAGCATTTTTCTTATGTCTCAAATACAATGCACAGCAAATTAACAAATAAAGGTAAAGATAATAATAGTTCAATAACAACAGAAGAAATATAAATTATTTTGGAAAGAAACCAGAACACAATGCAAATTTACCTCTGAATTGGCACCTAATCGATCAAAGCCGTAGTCAAGAATCTGCAATAGATAAATAATACTGTATCAGACAAGAAAAAAGAACAATAACAAGGGCAAAAGGAATATGCCCTAGAGTGTAAACACCATGATCCAGAAAATTAAGAAGTCACATGTTTTGTTTATATCTTTGAGCCATAAGATTGCAATTGGCATTTACTGCCATTATAGGGGACCATCTGAATCATGAGACGGATGATCACTCGGCTAATAGTGGAGTAATTACTCAATATAAAACAGTTTACGGGAGTATTTCACTATTTTGCTTTGACAATGTTTTTTTACCATCAATCATGTTTCAACCACGGATTATGGACATAAAAAATATCATTTAACACATGTAGTACTTTAGTGATTTTGCCCTAACTAAAACTTCTAATGTGATTTATCGAGAATGTAGTTGTTTAAATGTATTCTAGAGAAGGGTGATGGAACAGATTGATCACTGGTTTATCTATCTTCAAAATTAAATATGAATAACAAAGAACCATCTATATATCTACTGAGAACTAAAAACTGGTGGATGGTGTCAGAGAACAAACATATTCCATGTACTCGAACTGATAGACAACATCGTCATCAAATGGAGAGCGAACTGCCGATCTTGTGCAGTCAAAGAACTTCATTAGAGATGGATCAGTGTCCCCAACAATTGAAACAGTTTCACCTGTACCATGGAAATTAAATTACAATGAGTTGAATAATGAAACTTTCGTTAATCCTCTTGCAAGTCCGTTGATTGAAACAGTCATGAGAGTTGAGAGCTTCAAATAAGTAAATTTCTGCTCCTTTCATATAATCATTCAAAACAATATGAAGCTTACAGAGCACTCAGCAAACACAACGATAACAGTAGAAATATCTGGGCTTTAGAACATTTTGCAGGATTACTTGTAGCACAACTACATGAAACGGACCAAAGTAACATGGGATCATAAAACACAATCCTATCGAGTCTATGCAGACAACTAAAATTTCAATTTGTATCCAGTTCCCGTGCACTACAACAGAATTAGTTCATGCAGACAAGAGTGAAATCACACAAACAAATGGAAATCAGCTTGAGTGGTATCGGAATCGATCTCTATAACCGTCCCAAATGATCAACGTACTGTCACAGTAAACGCTCTTGAATCCCCCACAACAATAACGATTCTTAAGAGTAAAGTATAATTCCTGCCAGCGGGAAACTGCACACTCAACTTCTGAAACCGAACAGCAAGGAGCAACTAAGCAAACACGAGAACAGAAAATCTACACTTCCACGCAGTTTTCAAGCACCAAATCAACACGAAGTAGCATTCTCCGTAGCGTAAGGCGGCGTACCAGTGCTGCGGTGGCGCGGCCTCTGCACGACATTGCGGAACGAAAGGCGCGGCTCCGCCTCGCCCGCCCACCTGCACGGAGGCAACCGCCACGTTACAGAATACTGGAAGGCCCGCTAGGGTTAGGGTTTGGGGAGTGCCCGGCGCGGCAGGAGCTCTTACCCGATGCGGAACGTAGAAGCGCCGTTGTCGATGACGATGGGGGTGGACGACGGGAAGCGCGCAAAGTCGGCCTCCCGCCGAGGGCGGGTCACCGATGACATCTCGCCGGCGGCGGCGGCGACAGGGCTCGCCGGAAGCGGGGGAGAAGAGGGGTTTGGAGCTTTTGGTAACCTTGTCCTTTTTGCTGCGTCGTCCTCTTCCTCTTCGCGACTCGCGAGCTCGAGTCTACTTGGCGTCTTGGGCCTTGGCGATCAACACGGGACCAGGAGTATTAGCGTAAAACCCCCTGTCATTTCACATAAGTTGTATGCAGAGCATCAGAGGTCGCACATTGACATACTCCATTCTGCATTATCTTTCCTTATTAGTTTGCAAAGGCCACGAAGGATAGCAGAAGTGAAAATATTGATAGCTACAAAGTTTCTATTACTTGGCTAAAGATGGTAACAAAATGCAGTTGACGGTCTCTAACACAAGATATAGAAGGCAATTATTTATTGTTTGTATATACGATTTTCGATATATTATAACATCGACTATATTTTTGCATGATACTTGATGAATTGATTTAAACTCATGAAGTATGACAAACTCGAATTTACATTTACTAAGAGCATCTTCAAAAGTCTTCCTAAATTTCACTCTCTAAATTATCATTTAGAGAGTCATTTGCATTGTTTTCTATATCTTTTCACTCTCCAGCAGTTTTATATATCTCGTGCTCACTCTAGAGAGCCATTCTCGTTTTTCTATTTTTTGGTAGCGAGAAATCTAGAATAGATAGTGGTTGTATTTAGATAACCATTTAAAAAAGCTGTTTGAGGGTTTCATCATAATCTCTTCCTAAGGATATAAGGAGTCTCTTGGAGTTGCTCTAAGTGTGATAAATAATTAGTTATGCAACCTTAGCTTCATCGTTGGAGCTTTTGTCAGTGCAATTGTATTTTCTTTTTCTACATCTATTCATCAATTTGTTTGTCACAGCACTACTCTTATATCACAAGAAATTCACGTATGTATAGTCATGTGTGTAATTTTGGATCCAAAGATTTAGTGATTTGGATGGAACGATATAGCCATGTGTTATGTGATACAGCCAACATTTATATCCTACAATAATCGTTATGCAAAACTACACAATATCACACAACATTTAGTTGCAAATTATAACTCGTCGCAGTCCGAGAAACCTTTCATCAGGGAAAAAAACCACAATTTCACCCGATAATTTCGTCCTGGTTTTAAGTAAAAGTCCTATTTAGTTTCCATAAATTAAGAGGAATTAGAAAGTAATCTAATAATAAAATGAAAAGCATTTTCTAGATATTGATTTTAATTCATATGATCCAAAAAGACCGTAAGTGTTGCTTTTTTTCTTTCTAAACTTTGCATTGCGCGGAACGTTGAGAAAGAAGACACCCATTCCCAGCACAGAAAAATATTATTTTTTTCACAGTGCAGAAAATCAGCAGGGCCAAAATTTACACGATACTTCTCAATTTGCGATCAAACAGTATCGGTTGTTCTCGAAGCATATGCTAGCGACAAGTTAAAACCGCGCATAATGTAGTTGAACATGTCAAAATTCGGTTAAATCCACTCTCTCTGTTTTTCTTTCTGATATAAGGAAATCCACTCCTGTTAAAAGGGACCGCAAAAACCACAGAACACAAACTTCTTTCATCCATTCAGTCCTTCAAGAGTTCAAGGAATATTGAGTCCCCGTAAATCGCTTCTCCTGTTCCTTGCCACCGCCCGGCCTGCCCTCCGCCTTCCCCTTGCTCACGCCACTGCCAGCCGCCGAGGGGGCGCCAAATCGAACCTTTCTCTTGGGTACACCCGGAGCTACGGCGTTCACTGCCGCCGCCGGAGACGGCGTGGGCGGCTGCTCCACCGGCTTGCCGTCCATCCGCGCCGCGACGCCGGTGAACCGGGACGGCTGCGGCGGCTCGTCGCTTCCTTGTTGGCTGGCGACGACGCGCGGGGGCTCCACGTAGTCGAGCGGCGGCGCGAAGTCCACCGCGCAGACCGTGTCGAGGGAGCAGACCGCGTCGGCCGGCTGCGCCTCCAGCACGTCCAGGTAGTACCGCCGCTCGCCCTCCGTCACCGCGATCGTCTCGCCGGCGGTCACGCACGGGAACTTGCCGAAGTTGTACTCCAGCCTGCACGGCAAGTTCAGAGGACAGACGGTTAGCTGAATGCTTCATCACAAAAGCAAAGCCTGAATGAAAAAGAAAAGAAAAATTCAAAACTTCGTCGTCTGGCACTCACAGTTCCCTCGGGTGGGAGACATGGAGGAAGTCCTTGGTGTGTGCCTGCAGCTTGATGAAGGTGGCCTTGGGCAGCGACGTGCTCCTCACCAGCACGATCTCGTTCTCCAGGACACCCTGGTGCGCCATCAACTGAAAAAAAGAGAATACAGAGACCCGCGTCAGGTTCTTCGTTCATGGCGGCTGAATTACGGTACTAACTATGCACCGGGGATTGTATCCGAAAGGACGGTGGATACTTACCCAGCACGGCATGTGGATGAACCCTTCGTCGGCGACGAACTCGAGCACGCCGCAGTGCGTGACGCGCTCCGTGCTGGGGTTCTTGATCTGGAACAGCATCGGGTACTGGATGTTGATGAGGCGAGCAAGCCGATCAAGGGCAGACAGCGGCATGATAACTGAAAATCAAGATGCAGCAACAGAAAGTTAGAACATTGCATATGTGCATCCCGCAGAAAAGGAAATTAGAAGGAAAAAAACACAAGGAATAAAGCAAAAAGCTTTACCCCTATTTCCGTCCTCATCTGCGTTCTCCTTCTTCAGGAGAGACAACGGCAGGCAGCGGTAATACTGCACGAACGTTTGCGACTGCAAGCGGAGATACTCCTCGAAATCCTGAACGTGAAGATCAAGCAAGATTAGTTGATCCGTCCTTCTGTCTAACTCTGTTGATCCAAAATCATGCAAAAGGAGATAATGATGATCGACTAGAATTACGCAATCCACGACTTATTTGGTCGCTTGTAGTCTGAGCAGCAAATTTGATCGTCGTATCAACAGTAACTTAAGATCGTTTTAGGCAATGCTAGTCTAATCTAAGCAACCAAGAACCCTTCACGGATTGATCAGACTACGAAAATCTGGAGAAAAAAAAGAGGAGGAACATGAACGTGAAAAAGAATTCGAGAAGCAAATCATACCATCGTGAACTCGGCGAGCGATGTGTTGAACCCGAGCCCTTTGCACCTGTCAAAATCTTCTCTCTATCTTCGAACTTGGCCCTTGTTTAGATTGCCTCCAAATTCCAAGTTTTTTCACTCTCTCTTCATTATATCAATTTTTGGACGCATGTATGGAACATTAAATGTAGATAAAAAAATAACTAATTACATAGTTTGGTTGTAAATCACGAGATGGATCTTTTGAGTCTAGGCCTTGTTTAGATTGCCTCAAAATTCCAAGTTTTTTCACTCTCTCTCCATCACATCAATTTTTAGACGCATGCATGGAGCATTAAATGTAGGTAAAAAAAATAACTAATTACACAGTTTGGTGGTAAATCACGAGACGAATCTTTTGAGCCTATTTAGTCCATAATCGGACAAAGTTTGTCAAATACAAACGAAACGTGCTACAGTGTCCAGATTGTAAAAATTTACAATCTAAACAAGGCCCTAGTTAGTCCATGATCAAACAAAGTTTGTTAAATATAAACGAAATATGCTACAGTGTTCAGGTTATAAAAATTTACAATCTAAACGAGGTCTTAGCACGGGAACAGAAGATCAAAATCCAATCGGGGGCGCAAACCAACGTGAAGACTCAAATTTATGGGAGTGCTCCCGTTGCAGGGGAGGGGCGGCAGATCAGTATCGGCGGCGGATTCCGCAGCACGGTCGACTTCGTCCGCGGCTCCAGGACACCGAGCCGGGCCCACGTGCCGGTGAAATCGGCCGAAAGAAACACGCGCAAGCCTCATGTCACAAGCCTCTGGGCCCCACGTGTCAGGCTCTGCCGACGAAATTACGTGTTCGGCCCCACGCCGCACCCGCTCTGACTCTGTTTTGTTTCTTCTCGTGCTCCCCTTCGCCGGCGGCTCCGCTACGCCGCGAGCCCCCAAAACCCTAACCCTAAATTTGGGGGACTGGGACAAAGAGAGGGGGAGGAATCGAACCGGCGACTTGCGGCGGCGGGAGCGATGGCGGCGAAGCGGGAGATCTCGAGCACCCTGAGGAACCTGAAGGTGAGGAGTCCCTCTCCGTTGCCGCCCTCGGTTCTTCTGTCGCCGTGGATTGGCTGGCATCTCACGGCGTTTCTGTGTTTGTGGGGGCGGCGGCGCAGTTTATGCAACGCGGCGCGGCTGCGCAGAAGGTCGAGGAGAAGGCCAAGGTGGAGGTACAGGAGGAGGTGGTGACGGCGCCGAGTGGAGGCTTCGGCTCGTTAGCGCAGATCGTTAGGAAGTGGTATGGAGATTAAAAGCTTGTTTTTGTTTTCATTCTTTCCTGCTGTTATGGTCTTCTACTTGATCAACATGGTTCCGGAGATTTGAGAGTTCAGTTCAGGCTAGCATGAAAACTGTGTACAGTGAACATGTGCATTTTAGTTTTGGTATATCTTTCCATCCAATTAAAATGGACTGTTCATGGCATGTTGGATGAATATTGCAGCTTTTTTTCTTCCAACAGTGATAATAACTGGACAGAAATGGACATGAAGATGCTTATGTGATTATGGCAGTAGGATTGTAGGAGTTTTAGAATAGTGTTACATACTTGTGTGGCACGATTATCCTCATACATTGAAAAAGATAAATGCGCATTTTCGTTATTATAGCTACTAATGTCGTGTGGAAAATTCTTGATAAAACTAGCTTTCATGCACACGTGCTGATTAAACTGGTACTGTTTCTCTATGCAGCATAGTTATCATGGAGGGTAATCCTCACCCAGGAGCTATAAAGGGTCGGATGTCTTTCCAAAATTTCAATCCATCTATCGATGTGAGTTTGGAAGGTTGTTTTTGTTGCATATGCCATTCTGGCAATTATGTACTTGTAGATTTGTGTTCCCTTACACAATCCTAGATGTGTATAGAAACTAAATGAAGAGGCAAGAGGTGACCGCCAAACAGAATCAGCTTCCCCCAGTAATCGTGACCAAGACAGTGCAAACTCCAGCAGGTTAGCTATTTCTCTGTTATGTTACTTTAGTAAATTCAATCTGTCACAAAATATGTTTCTTGGTAATTATTAAATGATAAGCGCACCTAAATAAGAAAGAGCTGGAATGCTTATAAACTAATCACTAATAACTGTCCGCGTCGTGATATCAGACAAGTTTATATCAACATTTTAGATGTTATAACACTTGGTTTACTGGATACTCGTAATTGATAATTGACACCAATGTCAGGATGAAAATTTCTAAAATCGTATGGAATCCATTTGTTGAGATGTTATGGACTTCTCAGATTCGAGTTTTGTATCTGTTAACGAACTATATACTAACAGTCTTCTCGTTGTATTGTTTTACTGAATGGGGATGATGGAAATCGCAAAGGTTATTTAATTTTAGAAAGTTTTGTGTATATGCTATGAAAGCTTCAGGATCTGCATACATGCTTACAAAAGCTCATTCTCTATCGTAGTGCAAATGGCCTGTCAAAACCAGATTCAGTTTTATCACTAAATAGTAGGCTGTAGGCCATACAAAAGGTTGTGGATGTAGTATAGCATCTACAGTTCTGTAATTCAATATCAGATTACTTCTGTAGTTTTTCTATCTATGAAATGTATATTGATGGATGCTTCATCTTTACTTGATATATGGTTGATATGAATTTGCATGTGATACCTTTTGCAATGAAATGCAGAGGGGATGAAGTTCCAGCATCGAGATCTAGAGATTTTGACATTCCCAGTTCAGAAAGCATATCTCTGAATGAACTGAAAAGGAAAGAGCCCGAACTCGATATGGAAACACTGCCATCTTATAAGGAACCAAAAACGAACGTTGATGGTAGGTCATCTTCGCAAAGCAATGGTCGTGGATCAAACAAGTCCAACAAGCGTGAAAAGCTCGACTTCAATCATCTAAGACCAAAGAAATAAAAGTCGCATTCGAGTTACCATAACTATGAGTAGCTCTTGTACTTTGTTTGTAGTTGTACCCAATTGGCCATTTGCCATGTTTTGTCGATTATATATCTAGAGGGCTGGTAACCATGTCCATGTGGCATGCCTGTTCTTAACTTTAGTGAGATGGTGTTAATCATTATATTTCTACTCCATTACTCTGTTGTAAGGTGTGAGGATCTGCTTTAGAGCAGTGAGGAATACAGTTCTGCTTATGTTTTATGCCGCACACATTGTTGGCGAGGTGGTGATCGTTGCGTTTTGCACTGTGTTGCATCCTCCATTTAATTGCAAGCGAATGCACGCCTTGCCTCATCTTTTGATGCCGCCCTTCATTTCTCTTGTTGCTGTTCCCTAATGTATTGGGACTCGCCTGCATGTATTGGGACTCGCCTGTTGCACATAACTTGTTTAGTTTTCACCTGTCCCAAAAGGTGAAAGCTTGTTACATATTCCACATCGGAGGTCTGAAAGGTGGGGTGGTCATGTTCGAAGGAGATCTTTAGAGACACCAGTGCATTGTGGAATCCTTAGTCGAGATACTAATGTGAGGCACCAGTGCATTGTGGAATCCTTAGTCAAGATACTAATGTGAGGAGAGGTAGAGTAAGACCGAATCTGGAGGAGACAATAAAAAGATATTTAAAAGGTTGAGATATATCTAGAGATCTTTGTTTAGATAGGAGTGTTTGGAAAGCAGCTATCGACGTACTTGAATCGTGACTAGGGATGTTGGGTTTCAACTCACACTGTTCTAGCTAAAAAAAACAAGCTGAAAAAGACGAATTATAAGAGAAACGAACGGGGCCTCAAAGGCGGCGGCAGCAGCGTCCTCCTCCTCCTCGTCCTGAAAGGATTTGACACTAACGATTTTATGCGATCCCTTCGTATAGAAATCTTCATTCTAAGCACCCTTTGGAATGCAGGAAAATGAAATATGTTTTTTTTCTGTGAAAATGAATTGATTTCTGGAAAATTCCTGTATAATTCGCGCGTTACAAATCGAAGGATTTTTCTTGGCTGAGAGAAGGCTCCAATTGGCTCCAATTTTGCATCTAAAACACGTTGGCCCCACTTGTCAATGACCGATGTCGTCCAGATGTCTACTCGATTTGTTTCTCCAATTCTTCTCTTTCAAGTTTCCTCTCGGCACATCGGCGGAAGGCGCTCAAAGCTAAACCTAGTTTGAACCTGTACTAGCCGGCGACGGCGGCGGTGGAGCGTGGGATACCCGGAGATGCCGGCGGCGTCTGTGGTCGCGTCGGCCGTGGAGAGGCTACAGACGGCGGCGCAGGACGCCGCCATGTCCTCGTCGCGCTCGGCCGTCGCTTTTTCCGAGCAGGCGCAGCAAACCCTCGTGCCCAGGGCCGCCGGGTAAGCCGTCTCCGCTGACTCCTGCCTCCATCTCCTCTCGATTCGACGCATCCGCGGTCATGAGATTTATGCTTGCTCTGTTGTTTGCCCTGATTTGGTATGGCCACGCGGAAATTGCAGCGTGCTTCTTCCAATCCCCAGTAATAATTACAGCTGTACTTCTGATCTTATTACTGTACTTAATGGAATCAGTTTACTTCCAGCCAGTTTGGCTTACGTTTACACAAGCAGTATGAGGTAGTATCGTGCGATATGAGTGATTCATGGTTTGGTAGGCAATGTACTTTAATTATAACTTCATGTTTCCAGTGGTTTAAATTATATGAAGGGCAACTGGTGGTTTTCCCGGAACCTTCATGTAACCAAATTTCAAAAGAGAAGCATAAGAAATCCCTTGTCTGAAGCTTACAGTTACTGTCAAGTTAAACTGAAAGCGGTAGCTTGATGTATTGAATTTTATAGGTTTAAGAACTTCAAATGACTACTACTACTGAAAAAAAAATTCTTAGAGTTGTCTTAATTCAAACTTTTTAAAGTTTGACCGAATTTATAGAAAAGAGCGTTAAGATTTATGACACAAAATTAGTATTATTGGAGGCACCATAAAGTATATTTTCAGAATATGCTCATTTGGTATCACAAATATTTGTACCTTTTTCTATAAATTCGGTCCAAAATGAAAAAGTTTGACTTAAAGGCAACTTCAGGAATTGATTCATTCGGGCATGGAGTAGTAGTTACTTGTGTTTAAACTTTTAAGTGGAGGTAAGATTGAAAGTGGTAGCCAATCTGTAAAGCTGGTGTATCAAAGTTCTTATGAGTTTTAAATCCTAGAATATCTGTCCAGTGTTCAACTTTGTCTGTGATTTCAGCTGAAGCAAACAGTGTTTACCCCTTGTTGACACCAAAATTTGATAAGCTTACCCTGAAAAAGAAGAGATCGGCCGATGATGTTAAAAACAAGAAGATTTCCTAAATAAGGGATATTTCATAGCCAAGATAGTTGATCCGTTACGGAACTCAGCTTTGGCGCACGCATAGGTCAATTCGGAAATCATATGTGATTGCCAATGCTCAAGAAGGAAATAAAATATTATATTTGGAGGTTGTCACGTATGCACAAGGCATAGTTCAGATAGTAGTTAATGAATATTTGCATGCATGCAAGGCGCAACGTCCATAATCAAGTTGATTTGGCTTACTAGGGAGGCAAATATGGAAAGGTAGCTAACGAGAGAAAGCTTGATCACGGAGAGCATGAGATCTTGGCATGTACTACGTGTTCTATTGGGACGGCAACAACTTTGGAAGCAAAGAGAAGAAGAATAATTTAGTTAAGTCCAATTGCCATACGAGCTGAAAGCCAAATCGATTTCTATTTACCAATGAAGTCTACGGGAGTCATCTGACAGGTGCACGAGATGGTAATTAATCTCTACTATAATTGAAGACTTCAGACTCATCACGCGTTGAAGCCTTCAACGCAACGCTCCCGTCCATATCGCCGAAGAAATATCGCCGAACAAAAATAAAGGAAACCGCCGAGGACACTGGCCGCTATCTTCGCGACTCCACGATCTCCGCGCCTCCACGATATCTGCGCGCGCAGAGCCACGAGACCTGCGCGCCTCCACTTGCTTTCATTGCGCCTCCGCATTGACGGCAGAGTCATTGTCGTAACCACCGCAGAGGGACCGCTGCCGACGCCGCCAATGAGACCTCTATCTTCGCGCCGCCACGATCTCCGCATGCAAGCCACGATCTCGCGCGCACATCGGCGGCGATCCCGGCACCGGGCCTCGGCGACGACCTCGCCGCCGCTTCGCCCGCCTCTTGCCGCGCCTCCCGCCGGATCGGGAGACCAAGGCGGAACGACGGGAAGGGCACCCGGCAGTGTTTCGGGGACCGAGGGGGGAAGGCCGAGACATAAGCGTGGTCGAGGATTCACCCGTCGAAAAATTGCCGTGCTAATCCGCCCGCCGTCGCAACGAACGCGTTCCAAACGAGCCCGACGAACTCGCCGCCTGTGGCCACGCCGAGAGCCCTGCTACGCATTGCGCCGTAAACGCAATTCACAAAGACACCGGCAGGCAACACCGGCGGCCGACATCCTTCCTCTCCGGTGGACGAGGAAGGTTCGTCTGACAGCAGCGATCGCAGCCCAAGAACCCTAGAGCACAAGCTCTGCTGGCGGCGGCGGTCGCAACCCCGGGACAACATCGTAGATTATCCGTAGCGTTATCACGAACTACTCTACAAAGAAGTCTTGACGACCGCAGCTGCGCGCTTCTACGCCCGCGGTCCACACATCGTCGGACCCGTCTCGTCGAGACGGACGTGCCAATAAGCAAGGTATGGTCCCACTCTCTCGCCTTCCTCTTTGTGCAAAACGGAGGTCCTGAACCTTGATTAATGGTATTGTATGTCGATCGTCGTATTCTTTTGGAGTCACACAGCGCGAAATTCGTGTCCATGTTAATGTTAATTTAAGCGGAGATAATAATAATTGTGTACATAGGGAAGAGGCGATGTCTCACGCCGGAGATCCACGCTGACAGTCGAGCAAAATGTCTCACGCCGAGAGATACATGAGCGCAAAGCCAAATGATTACGCCGACATATACACGCGAACCACTAAGTGATATCACCAACGTCCACCAAATGATTACGCCGACATATACACGCGAACCACTAGGTGATATCACCAATGTCATAGGTATGCTTAAAATATGTACCTATGCAAACCTTTTCATATTTTTCACTATTTCTTGGAAGGACGTTTTCATATTTTTAGATGAGGAATCGCGGAGGAGGGAGCAAAGGAATATGCAAAGCAACGGAAACGTCGAGCTGATATGTCCATGGAACAAAGGGGCGAGATCAATCGGAAACAACTTGAGTACCGAGAACGGAAAAAACATGCAACCCGAGAATAGTAGCACTTCCGGCCGCTTATGCGTGAGACGGTGCCGTTAACTTCAGCTTTGTCCATAGGTATTTAATCTCTTTCTATTTTTGGACACTTATTATTACACCATAACCCCTTTTGATTAAGGTAGAGGTCAACCATTTGGTGCCACCCAATCATAGGACTTGATGAAACTGCCGACCCACAGAATGAAAACACGCCAAATATATTTTGCAACGGAGATATGCAAACAAATAGTAGAGATGTTGGCGAGGCACGGCGAACATCGAGTCAAGTACGCTGTCTGTGGACATAAGCGACAATGACCTAGGTATAAGTGATGGTTATTTTGTAAAGGAAACACATTTTTTATGTCTACACACCACATCTCTATATATTGACTTTAACATGTACCTTTGTCTCCAGAGACGAGTCCTACGGACAGTGCCGATGCTAGGAGGGAAGCAAGGAATGCACGTGCACGCAAACGAAGAGCTGAAATGACCGATCAACAAAGGGAGGAAGCTAATAGGAAACAACGTGAATACCGAGCACGGAGGAAAGCTGCAATGCAAAATAATAGCCCCACCTCTGTTGTGTCCCAAACATTGCCGGCGTCTTCACCAGCTGGTGAGATATAATAAATGTTCAAATCAAATTGTGCATTCTCTCAACCAACTGATACATCATTAGCAGATCCCACAGAGTGGCTACACCGAAATGATAATTACGTTCCACAAGCTAGAGGCACATGTACGGTCCCTCCTGGCCCATTGCCTACTTCCGGTGAGTCAAGCGAGCACAACAACGTCATGCTTTTTTCAATAAAATATAATTTAAATATATGTTAGCATACTTATTTTTAAAATGTTTGCAGAACTTCATTTACCTGAACTACACAATGAAGAAGAATTTGACCGTGAACTATTTGAACCAACGCATGATGGTTGGGACGGTGATGAAGATGCCATAGACGCCGGCCATGGATTGCAGAATGAAAACTTATACGATGATGGAGTCATTCACCAACATGCGCAAGGTACTGTGACAACAATATATAAACCTGGTTACAAGTCTAGCTTCACTTTGGCATGTTTATATATTAAATGAAAATAATTACTGCAATGTGTACACAGGTCATGATTATGAGTCATATCGCGTGCTTCCAGAGGGTCCAGCTACAAACAGTGTGACACATGATGATCCATATGATTACATCTACCGAACCTGCGAGCGACATAAATTGAGAAAGGTCCCCGACTGCAGATTATTGTGGTGCGATGAGGTTTTGTGGTGAGACACTGGGTTTTGTTGTAGAAAAGGAAAAGTACTGATACATATACCGGATGTTCCTGCAGAGCTCAAAAGGTTGTTCACAAGTCAAGTGCACGATGATGCAAAATATTTGAGAAAACATATACGTTATATCAACTCACATTTCTCCTTTGCAAGTCTAGGGGTTACCACCGATGACAGATATAAAAGTCCAAGAGGGACCGGTGTTTATACATTTCGAGTTCATGGTGGGTCAGTACCACCGTCTTGACCACACGGTGCGGTGGCCATGGTGCTTCGGCATTTGACTCTACTTTTATGATACTGAAGATGAGGCCTTATCACATAGAGTCAAAAGGTCCCCGATCTTGATATCAACATCATTCGGACTATCCTAGCAATCTTGCAAGATAACCCATATGTTCGGACTTTTAGGAGAAATGGGGATTTTCCAAACTTGGATGAGTATCGGATTGAACTCAATACAAATATCACGCCTGACCAAAGAAGGTACAATGCCCCAACTGCATCCCAAGTTGCTGCTATTTGGATGGATGGGAACGATCCACAAAGATGTTTTGATAGAAGTGTGGTTGTATATGGAAAGACCGATCATCGTCGTCCATGATATATCCGGGCATGGCATGGTTGTTATGACGCCTTAGCTTATCCTATATATAACCCACGAGGGGAGACAGGATGGAACAAATATATGCCGTACAGTGGGAGTCCATTCACTCCACCATCTGCAACCGCGGCTTCTACTAATAATCAATGGCCAGAGAGTAGAGATGAAGGGACGTCTGGTGTTAATCATGGTATTATCTCTTAGTAATAGTATTTTTCCTATAATACTTACTGCTATACTAATGATTTGATGCTATAGTACCATATTATAAAATGTTCTAATATTTTATCTATTTCCCAGCTGATAATAATAATGAGAATCCATTTGAAGATGGCGACAATGAAGTACAAGAAGGTGACGTCCTAGGTGGAGTTGCTGATGCAACACAATCTGCAAAATATGTAATCTGCACGAGAATACTACTGCTTCA